CCCCCCCCAGGAACTATAGACTAGTCGACTAACTGATAAGAATTCATGAGGTTACTCGACTATCCAATTAACTGATATTTAATGTCCCTATGCCACACACAGCTGCCTCAGCCCCCTGGGTTTCTCATTGAGCTGTGGGTCTGCAGTGAGCAGAAATTGCATAGAGATCGGGAAAACTCCCCCCAATTGTATCTCCTCCTCCTCCCACCATTCTACAGCCATGTCTCCAGAACGCTCTGTTCCACTAGCCACTGTGTGGGGGCCTGGCCTCAACTCAATGAAGTCCCCCAGCCAACAGCTACCTGATCAATTCTGACAAATCCTCCCCAGCATCCAGCCTCCCATTCCCCCAAAGTGCGCACTGAGCCCCCCGCCTTGCTCCCTCTGCTCCCACCTGCCTGCTAGCCTGGTGCCTGGTGACCACCACCTCCCTGCACTGGCTCCCTGTCTGCCTTGGAATTGCTGCCCAGCCAGCCGGGGTAGGTGGGTTCCACTTGTCCCTTTCTGGGGCTATGTCTAGACTGCAGGCTTCTTTCGAAAGAAGCTTTTTCAGAAGAGATCTTCCAAAAGATTTCTTCCAAAAGAGAGTGTCCACACTGCCAAAGTGCATCGAAAAAGCCATCTGCTTTTTCGACAGAGAGCATCCAAACTGAGTGGATGCTCTCCTGTACGTAAGCTGTGATTGCTATGGGTGGAGCGACCACCAGGGCCCCTGTGCGTTTTCCTCTTTCCTCTTCTCCCAAAAGAACTCCCTCTTCCCTGTCCACACATGCTTTTTCCAAAGAGCTCTTTTGCAAACCTCGTAGAACGAGGATCACCAATGCTGGAAAACCCCTCTGTGCTTCCGATGTTCTTTCAGAAGACCACGATGCAGAGTGGACATGAGTGAAGATTTTTCAGAAAAACGGCTGTTTTTCCGACAAAACTTTGTTGTGTAGACATAGCCTGGCTAGTGACTCTGTTCCTCAAGGTCACCTCCAGTCTCTGTACCAGCTACAGCTTCATGGCCCCAGTCACAGAGACACCTGCAGCTTCCCTGGCTCCAGCCAGGGGGCCGATTGCCAGGGGCCAGCCTCAAACACCCGCAGCCACGTGGGAGGGGCAGCAATTCCAAGGCTGAGCTGGCTTGAACCTGGCAACGGCAGCACATGGGGCTCTACATCCTCAGTGCTGGGCCTAAGTGGCTACAGCCTCTGCAGTTTGGTGCTTCCCTCTAGGACATGGCTGTAAGTACCTGAGATGTCCGTCGCCTGCAGCAGGGCCCCCAATTCCCAGGCACCCCTCAGCTAGTGCACGGTCATGCAGGAAGTGTGTCTGAGTCAGGGTGCCAGGAGGTTCCCACACCTGAGCAGCAGCTCTGCAGCAAGCTCACACTGGGCCCCTCGGCTGTGGGACCGGGACCCTGTGGAGACAGTGCGGTTACCCCAGGCACAATCGGTTCTGCCCAATGCCTGCTGCAGTGAGAGTCTCCCAGGAGCCCAGCTAGAGTCCAGCAGCAAAGTGCATTCTGTGCTGCACGGGAGAGTCTCCCCTTACCTAGTGAGCGAGCAACACCTCCCGCAGCCCTCCCCTTTCCCTGCGCCTTCCCACCGGCCCGCGCAGTACAGCTGCTGAGCTCACAAGGGCTGAGAAATAGCAAGCCCCGGCCGTTAGCACTGGAAAGTGCCAGCTTTTGTTGCTCCATTTCACCCTCCTTTCCTAACCCAAGCGCGGGGGCTCAGGGGTTGATTTTGGAGACATGTAACAGCCACCCAAACTGAACTACGGGGCCCCAATCCCGTCTGGGGCAGGGGCTAGATGGTCCCTTGTGGCTTCCATGCCTGTGGAAACCGTCAAATCCTCCTGTGAGCCCAGTATGGTACCCAGAGCTGCCCAGGCCCTCTAGAGGAGCCTTCGCTCCCTTAGGGTATGTCTACACTACAAAGTTAGTTCGAACTAACGGACGTTAGTTCGAACTAACTTTAATAGGCGCTACACTAGCGCTCCGCTAGTTCGAATTTGAATCGAACTAGCGGAGCGCTTAGTTCGAACTAGGTAAACCTCATTTTACGAGGATTAAGCCTAGTTCGAACTAGCTAGTTCGAATTAAGGGGTGTGTAGCCCCTTAATTCGAACTAGTGGGAGGCTAGCCCTCC